AAAAAAAAAAAAAGCTCAAATTCGCACAAGAGTGGCCCCCCCGCCCCGCTCGCCCCCTCCCCGGGCGAGCACCCCGACACCCCGTCCCACACGGGGCCGGAGGGGGGAGCACCCACCCCATGCCACGCCGGCAGCGGGGGGGTCACAGGGACCCCCAGCTTGGGGCTGCCTCCCGGCCGTGCCGCCCACCGGGCTCTCCCGCTCTTCTACCAGATGTAGCCGCCATCGTCGCCCTCGCCCGCTTCGCCCTCCTCTTCCTCGCCTTCTTCGCCCGCCTCCTCCGGCTCCTTGTCCTCCTCGTCCTCCCAGCCCACGCTGCTCCCGAAGTCACCCGAAAACCCGGTGGCTTCATCTGCGGGGGCGAGGGGGCGGAGGTTGGGGAGCGCTCCCAGGGCTGCAGCCCCGTCCCCGGGCGGGGGCTCCCCGAAGCTCTCACCGCAGTCGGGGCTGCCGTGGCCGCGGGTGCCCGTCAGCTCGGCCCCGTGCTGGTCCACGCACCAGCACTCGCCACCGCCCGGCTCGCACTGCGCCCGCCGGTAGTAGCCGTCCTCATCGCAGCTGGGGATGAAGGTGCCTGCGGGGAAGCCATGGCCCCCCACCCCCCCCAAACACGTGCAGTGCCAGAGCCCCCCACGGAGCTCCCTGTCCTCATCCCGGCTCAGCTGCGTGGGGCACTGCTGGGGGAAAGGGTCCTGRCACACCCCACTCACCCGTTTTTTTTTTGGTTGCTTCTTGGATCTGGATCTTCTCCAGCTCTCTGAGACAGGGCGGCTCTGCAGTGATGCCATGTGCTGCTCTTAGGGTGTGCATGGTATACAACCCCATGGTATACAACCCCAAACCCACAGCATTCATCCCTGTGGTCCATCCTCCCAACCCATAGAGTACATCCCAACCCCATAGTGTGCATTCCCCCAAACCCATGGAGTACATCTCAACCCCATGGAGGGCATCCTCCCCAACCCATGGAGTACAGCCTCCCCAACCCCATAGTGGACATCCCCCCACCCCATGGGCACATCCCTCCCAGACCCCACAATGTGCATTCCCCAAGCTATGCATCCCCATGAGGCACATTCCCCCCTAACCCAAGATGTGCTTTTCYGTGACTCAGAGACCGCATCCCTGCTGTGATTTCCAGCCCCCACAAACCCTGTGGTGTTCCCAAGGTAATCATTCCACAGACACCCCAAACCCACAGCCCGTTACCCCTTGACATACATCCCCTCCACGCCCCAATCCCACAGCATGAATTCCACATAAGCCCATGATGTATATCTTCCCCATGACACACATCCCCCCACAAACCCCAATCCCACAGCACAGATTCCCCATGACATACATCCCCACACACCCTAATCCCACAGCATGAATTCCTCATGACTCCATGATGTACATTCCCCACTCCCAACTCCAATCCCATGATGTACATCCCCCACCCCCCAGTCCCACAGCGTGGATCCCACATAACTGCATGACATATGTCCCCCATTCCCAGCCCCAAACCTACAGTATGGATTCCTCACAACCCCATGATGTACGTCCCCCAACCCCAATCCCATAGCACGGATTCCTCATGACCCCATGATGTACATCCCCCAACCTCAATCCCACAGCACAGATTCCTCATGACATACATCCCCACACACCCTAATCCCACAGCATGAATTCCTCATGACTCCATGATGTACATTCCCCACTCCCAACTCCAATCCCATGATGTACATCCCCCACCCCCCAGTCCCACAGCGTGGATCCCACATAACTGCATGACATATGTCCCCCATTCCCAGCCCCAAACCTACAGTATGGATTCCTCACAACCCCATGATGTACGTCCCCCAACCCCAATCCCATAGCACRGATTCCTCATGACCCCATGATGTACAGCCCCCACYMCCAACCGCAATCCCACAGCATGAATCCCCTGATCCCCGGCACGTATCCCACAGGACATGGATCCCCCAGCCCCACGGGTCGCATCCTCCTGACCCCGCAGCACTGTCTCCCCCCTGCCCTGACGCACTTTCCCTCCAGAAGCAGAAGCACCATTCGGGAGCGGAGACGCGGCCGTCCTTGGAGGTGTCACAGGAGTTGAAGAAGGCGCGGATGCACACTTCGTACTTGTCCAGGTTGATGGCGGCCAGCTCGGCCGCCTCCAGGAAGAGATCCCCGCTGGTGTCCAGCCGGGCGAACATCCACCCCACCGCCTCCTTGCAGGTGGCCGCCACGCTCCGCTCCAGTGCTGCAGGGTGGAACGAGCCCCGTGGCTGCCCGGCCCCCCGGGCACACGCCCCACGTCCCCTCCCCACAGGCCGGGGACACGTACCCGTGGTGGGGCTGGCGGGGAGCCCACCGGTGCCGTTCTGCTTGGCGTTCTCCCGCAGGAGCTGGAACCAGTCGCGCAGGCGGTCGCCCAGGTCGGCCAGATCCTGGCCGGTGCACAGTTCTGGGGAGGTCCGGCGGGACAGYGTCAGGCCGGGCAGAGCTCGGGGACGGTCCCCCGGTGCCCCCCATGCCACTCACCTTGTTTGCTGTCGCTGGCGGGGCTGTGCGGGGTCGGGCAGGGGCACTGTCCCTCGCACCGCACTGTCAGCTGCTTGCTGGCCAGGCACGCCTGCTGCTCCAGCTTGCACTGCGGGGCGGCAGCGGGACATCGGCGGGGGAAAATGAGACAGGGGGCCCCGTCCCCGCGGCGGGTGCCGCTGTCCTTACCGCCGAGCTGTAGGTGTGACCGTCGGAGCCGCAGACGGCGGCCCCCGGGGCGGCGTGGCAGGGCTTGCAGCCCCCGTGCACCTTGGGGCCCAGCGGCTTGATCCTGCACGGGGGAGACGCTGCTGAGTACCCGCCCGGCCCCCCCGCTCTCCCGGGTCTCGGCCCCGGCCCGCCGCGCTCCTACCTGTGCTCCAGCTTCTTGCGGCTGATGCACATGGCGCGCTGGTAGCCCTGCGCCACGCACACCTTGTGCCGGCTGCACTTCACCTTCTGACAGGGGTCCTTGGTGGTGTCCAGGGCTGGGGGAGGCAGAGAGGGACGGGGGCTGGCAGYGGAGCAGGCGGGGAGCCCTCAGGGGAGCCCCGGCAGCGCTGGCCACCAGCCGGCCCGGCACAAAGCGCCATTCAAACCGCAGCTGGACAGCCGCCTCGGCACCAGCTGCCGCTTCCCGGCTCGCACCGGCGCCACCGCCGCTCCCAGGCGGAAAGGGAAAAACCCGGGGGTGCAAGCAGAAAGTGTGACCCTCCTGCACTGGCAGGCACCAAGCCCACTGTGCCCCATCCCAGCGGTACCTTCATCCCCGGGCTGGTTGTCCTCCCAGCTCTTGATGTAGTCATCCTGAAAATTGGGGAGAGCCTGGATAAGTGCAGGTGGTGGGAAAGGTGACACCGGGCCAGGCGTGCCACCACTTCACTAGGGGCCACCGGCCCGGAGAGGCTCCCGCTGCACACACCCGCAGGTCCCTCCACAGAGGGAGGGTGGGAAGCAGGGATGGGGAGCAGCCTCCCCCCAAAAGCGGGATGTCACACCCTCGGCAGCCCCTCGAGGCTCACCTCCACCTCCTGGCAGCACGACAGCGACATGGCCCAGCCAGCATCGAGAAAAGAGAGAGAGTGCCCACCGTCAGCTCTGGGGYAGCCCACAGCCCTGCTCCCAGCCCATGGTGACAGGCACCCAGTGCCGCTGGGGCACCCCAGCTTTCTGGCGCCCAAAGCTCTTGTCACCAGCCCTGGATATCACTGGCAACGACCCCCAGTGTGCTCCCCCATCTCTGGCTCTAGACCTATAATCCTGGAGAGCTTTTACACAGGATAAAACCCATCAGCCAGCTGGGAAAGCCAGGCAATAGGGGTGGAAAAGGCGTTGGGTGGAGGAAGCCCTGGGGAGCCCAGGGAGGCCCCCTGGGATCCCCGTGGTGCTGCCACCCTGATTCTTCAATAGTGAGCCCAAAAGCAGTGGGCCAAGATGGATGTCGCTGCCTGGGGAGGCAGAAGGGCTCCCACAGGACCCTGAAAGCATCCCGGRGGTGTGCGGGAAGAACAGGGACTCAAAACCTCCCGGCAGGCAGCATGGCCCGCCCCACGGGTTGTTGCGGGGTGGGCTTTGCGATAAGGCAGGAGTGTCCCTGCCACCCCGGGTTTGGGGKGGCAGCTGAAAGCAGAGGCACGGGAGGCAGGAGGCAGCTCCGGAAGGGATGTCTCGCTCCGGCACGGCGGCGTTTGCACCGCAATCGATAGCCGCGTTCCCGGACCGTGATTGGTAACACTGCGGCGCCCGCCCGGCAGCTCCCTGCGGCGCGGCTCTGGCCACGGCCGCCGGCCTCCTCCCCGTGCATCCCTSCACCGGGGCTGCTCAGCCCAAAACCCCACAAATCCATGGATTTGCTCATTAATCCACACTAACCGCCAGCATGGCTGCAGCCTCCCCAAGCCCGGCGGCCGTGTCACGGAAGGGTGGGCCCCACGTGTGCTGCCAGTGCCCAGGGGTGGGGATCCCTCGGCTCTGAACCCCCTTGGGGATGCTCAGTGCCACGGGGGCACGTCCGCACGGGCTCCCCTCGGGCATCCGCAGCCATCCAGGTGCCCGGTGCTGGTGTTAGCCAGCGGGGGCGCTTCTGGCAGGGGTCTCCGGGGAGGAATTTGCTCCATCTTTTGCACCCTCACCCGTGCTCTGCCCCCCTAACTGGTTCATTTGGGGAGTGGTGCCCCCCGCCCTGCCCTGCAGTAGGCAAATCCTTATCATTGCCATCCATCCATCCATCCATCCATCCATCCATCCATCCATCCATCCATCCATCCATCCATCCATCCATCCATTACATCCATCCATTACATCCTGGCTGCCAAGGTGAACCCGAGTGCGCATCTGAACAAAGACCAGAGGGGCTGGCTCGGGGCGGGGGGGGGCGGGGTGCGGCTCGGGGTGTGCCCCCTCCCGGCTCGGCTGATGCAGGTGCCCTGGGTCTGGGCTGCAGCATCACGTCCCCCACCCTGGGGAACACGAGCTGAGGGTGTAAAACGAGCCCAGGGAAAAGCCCCGACTGCCCCATAAAATYAAGGGCTGGAGCTAAATGCCATCGAGGCTGTTCGCTAGGGCTGCGTAACAGCGAGGGGTGACAGCATCCTCAGCCCGGTGTGCCAGGTGTGCCAGCGCTCCTCCGGCAGTGCCCGCATCCTCACCCTCCCTGCCTCGCGTCCCCCCATCCCCAGGGGCCACCACCCCGTGGAGGCAGGGTCGGCCCCGGCTGCGGCACCGCGCGTGGCCCCGGGGACACCGGAGCGCGAGTCCGGGAGGATGCCCGTGCCCTGATATGGGCTGAGCTGTCACCGAGGGCTTGAGGCCACGGCGCAGCCCCCGCGAAGGGCGGGTGGGCCCTGCCCGCACCCCGATGTGGGGCATGGGAAGAGGGCGCAGGGCACAGCACCCCCGGTCACCGGAGACGGTCGCTTTGGTATCAAGTCCCGGTCATGGAGGCACTGGCATAAGCCACGCAGCTTTGGCGACCGGCAGGGAGGCGGCGGCGCTGCCGGAGCCGGTGAGCATCCCTCGGGTACCGGGACCGCGGAGCATCCCTCCGGGTACCGGGGCCGGCAGCCGCCCACGGCCGCGGCGGGATGCGGGCACCGCCGAKCATCCCCAGGCGCCCGCGATGGGACCGGAGCAGGGGAGGGTCGCGCTGCMGCAGCCGCAGCGGCGGGGCGTGGAGTGCGGGGAGGGGGCACCCGGTGCCCGGCGGCGCGTCCCGAACCCCCCGCCCCGCTGCCGGCGCGGACTCACATCTCGGAAGCGGTTCCAGTGCTTGATCCTGCCGCCGTACTGGGAGATGGACGAGAGCCACTGCTCGTCCTCCATGAAATTGCCGGGGCTCTCCCCCGCCGCGGCGGGCCCGGGGCCGGTGGCGGGGCCGGCGGCGGGC